ACTAATTTGTTTAAGCTTTCGATCAATTCCGCAGCAAGCACAAAACAAAACTTGAGATTGATTATGATATTCCAATTATTTAAACAAATACAATGGAAAAACACCGTCTTTGATCCGGACTCACAAAAGGGGATTGGTTTTGTTCATGTTGTCGGAATCTAGTACAACAAATTTGGGGAACATATTACAAGGAAACATATGGGATTGTACAAGGCGTGAAGGTGGTGTTGGGTTTTGTTATTCTCTCAGTTTTATCATGAAACCAAAAATAAAATTTGAAAAAGAAGAAAACTTTTTGTTTTTGTTATTTCTTGTCCGAACTCAGAATCCGAGAAGACAAGAATTTATCTCAGGTAAAGAATTTACATGTAATCATTGGCACCGGAGCTACCTGAACCAACTCCGACGGTTCTTTTGCTCATGTTAGCTCTCTGAACCAACACAACCAACGCTTGCACCACTTCAGACATCGGTGGTCTAAACTCTGGCTCAGGCTGCACAAGATTAGAAACATCATTTTTATTCAATTCAAACTTTTTTGTTCAGATCATCATATTACATACATTATATTCAAAATAAGTATTACCTGGACGCAAAGGGCGATAACATCTGCGAAACGGGACAGAGATTTGACCGGGTAAAGCCCTTTGAGAGTTGGATCAACCATTTTGCTCAATGCATCAATGTCGTGAAGCTGAGGTGTTGCCCATCTCACCAATGACTGCTCCGATCTTGACCTTGTACTGTCACACAACAATCAGTAAGACTTACTTCATTGCAGAAAGAGTGATGAGTTTTAACACGAAGCCTGAGAGGTTTGGATCGTAATAGTACCTGTCGAATGGTTTTCTTCCGGTTAAAAGCTCAAGCATCACTACTCCGAAACTGTAAACATCGCTCTTCAAAGAGTATTGGCCTGACATTGAAACTTCTGGTGCGCTGTATCCTTCATCGTTTTGGTTCAGTAGCTGCACATTGTAACAGAATGATAAGTAACGGAGAAACAAGAGAGAGATTGGTTAAAATATGAAACTTTCAAAGTTTCTGCGTATACCTCATTTGCAGTGGGGAGGAAGCTAGCGAGGCCTGAGTCTGAGAGGTGCGGATTCAGCTCTGAGTCAAGTAAAATATTTGCTGATTTGATATTCTTGTGGACTATAGATGGTGAACAAACTTCATGCAAGTACCTGCAACAACAACAATACTTTACAATGAGACTCTTGCCATATAATGGGCAGTAGCGTGATTGAGAGATGTTTAAAGACTTACTCCAATGCGCGTGCAGTGCCGAGAGCGATCTTGACACGAGGATTCCATATCAACGGGTTGCTTTCCTCATCCGAAAGATGTAAAAAGTCATGCAATGAGCCGTTTCTATGGAACTCATAGACCACCAAGTGTTGTCCGTGTTCAGAACAGTAACCGTCAAGCTTTGTGACATTTTCATGATCCAAATGCGCAATTTTCGATACTATTTCGGTAAAATCATCAGCTGTGTCAGTGGGGAGCGCAGACGAGTCTATTTTCTTCACAGCGAGTACCTATTAGATAAAAACAATATCTCAGCAGTGGAATATTATGAAATTGTGCTGTTACAAGTATCAGATTATACAAAATTAAATACCTTTCCATCATCAAACTGGGCTCTGTATACTCTCCCAAAAGTCCCTTCACCGAGAAGATTATCAACGTTGAAACTATTGGTAGCTATTTGAAGATCTGCAACCGTATACGTATTCACATTTGAAGGAACAACAACAGCAGCTTTCTTTGCAACAATGGGTTTTCTCATTGTTGAATCATCATCGTCAAACGACTTGTGTCTCTCAGCTGGTGGAGGGCGTAGATTCATCGACAATGAAGTATCCAGTTTCTTTGTCTCAACTAATGGTGGATTCTGTATAGACTTATTCTCTGCAACCACAAAATTCCAAAGTTAGAAAACCATAAGAAAACTCAAATGTAAATACTTTTTTTTTACAAAATTCTTTTAATGTGTTACCTTGAAAGCCATTTGAAGCGAGTGTGAAGGGTTGCTTAATGTTATCAGTCTTTTCAATGTCCGTGGACGATGAGCGCTTTGATCTTTTCCTCTTGATCAAGAAGAAAGCAATCACAGCTGCTACAACTAACAATGAAATGACTATCCCTGCTATTCCACCAGCTCCAATACCTGATTTCTTGGAGTCATTGCTACTGCTGGAATCACCACTGGGCCGGGGTCCACCGTTACCAGATTTAGGAGTAGGTGACCTACGGACTGGAGGTGTACCCGGAGGTGGTGGAGGTGCAGGCCCGGAATTGAATGAATTACCATCTTTTCTGTTTCCAAGATCATTCAGGGATAAAAATGAGTGTGAATAGAAAAACGTTGCAAGAATATCGAAGAAACTAATGAAAACTTACTGCAAGTTAATGCCTTTCAAAGTATCGGGGATCCAGCCTGTGAAACGATTGTTTGCAATATTCCTGAGGAAGAATTCAGCAAGAACAAACATTTCAAGTGATGTTTAAAGGTTAAAAATTTCTAAAACGGATAAGTTTTAAGTTACTCACAAATTTTCGAGAGGAAGGGTGGCTAGGATATCGATGGTGCCTGTAAACTGATTGTTCTGAAGATAACTGTGAAGTTCAATAAACACACAATGTTAGTACCAACTGGTTCACTTAAAGTAAGTTTTTTCACTACATGGAGACTACTTAGAGAAGCCTTACATTGATTTAACACTCGTAAGAAAGCTAATTGTGTTCGGAAGAGAACCGGTGATAGCATTGGAAGAGAGGTCCCTGAAAACACAAATGAAATTTGTCAAAACATTTGCTTGTTAACTAATCAAAGCTTCTTAACTAGTTTAACTCAGGGAAAGAAAAAAAAGAAGATCTTACAAGATAGAGAGAGAAGTTAGTTTCGTGAAGTCAATAGCTAGTTGCTTCAGCTGGTTATGAGCAAGATTGCTGGGCAAACCATTAGCACGTTAAATAACCGATCTTCTCCAATAGGTATCTGAGTAGCAATGACTGAACTAGACTAAGAACTTACAGGTACTTGAGAGGTGTCATTAAAGAAATGGAATACTGAGCAGATCCAGTGAACTGGTTATTAGCAAGATTCCTAAACAAATTCAGAAAATGTATCAGCTTGGAAACACAGATAGAAACTTGTAGAACATATAGAGAGAATCATCAAAACATACAATCGCTCCAGGTTTGGAGGAAGCTGATACGGCATATCGCCTCCAATGTTATTGTTGCTTAGATCACTGCAGAGGTTTCACCAAAACAATCAATGAGACTCTAAGCTACTGCCATTAAATTAAATACAACAAATAGAAACTTTGGAAGATGAATCTCACAACTCAGTAACAGAAGTCAGTTTATCAAGCATATATCCTAGTGTTCCAGAAAGTCCAAGACCTGATAACTTTCTGCAAGTAGATGAAAAGTAAATGTATTAGAAAACAAGATATAACAAAGTGATTACAATTTATGATTTTTATAAAAATTCAATTACATTTGAGTAACTCTTGAGCCAGAGCAAGTTATGCCTTTCCAGTTTTGGCCACAAGGGTCACCACCTGAAGCTGTCCATTGAGAGAGCTGTCCTGGAGAATTCATGGAGCTGAACATGGTGTTTAATGCCGAAGCTGCACATATTGAGAATCAGAGACCATGAGGGACAACCATTCCAAACCATGAATTGAATAATCATTAATCATCTTGATTTTTTTGTCGGTTCCATGAAGCAGATCCAAAATTTGATAACATAAGTTTTCCGGTCTAATTGAAGAAATGGTCGAGACTG